GACCAAAAAAAATCAATTTTGATATACTGCGCTTTTGTTCCATGGAGAAGGGCTATATTTTATTCTTGAATAAATGAGTGTTATAGCTTGCAATCCCATGTAAATGATAGATATCAATAAAACGATCTTTTTTCTTTGCTTTCGCATCGTTGTTTTCACAGTTTGGCCTGTTTAGCGCGCTCGAATTAACTCGAGTTAAGGGGTTAACCCTTAGCACTCCGGATGGTTTTGTAATTGATCGGCAACTGATTTTTATGGTATCCCCAGTGAAAACGGAAGTCGCTTTGTATCGAATGCAATGGTATTATTACTTAATGAAGAAGATCCATTGAGCTTCTGAGACCACGGTCCATCTCGTCTCACCTTCAGCATCTTCTCGTCGCCGCGACGCGTTCGTTTCCCCTCATTGCCCGATCGTATAGGTTAAACTGTCAAATCAGTGAGCAACTTCCGTCCGCAATTCTATCGTTCATCGAAGATTAACACGTTCATTGGTAACAATCGATCCTACAGACCATGACCAGACAGCAGATCTTCAAACTCAAATTTTCAAGGTTATAATTAGACCAAATTACGATAGAAAACGGTCGTTCCTAATAAACACTTCAAAAAACCACTGCATTACCAACTTAATATATTCTCTGGACATTTTCACATCTACAAAAGTTTCGTCAAAAACGATTTTCCAGCAGTAAAACTTCAAATTTAATTCTTTATTCCTCGTTAAGATACACCGAGGCGAATAGGATCACGAATCGGAAAGAGCCAAGAATACAGTCGTATCTGTTACGTTCTTACATAAATTAGCATGCCAAGCATCCATATTCCTCAAAAACCTTCCCACAATGAATCCGATGCACCAATTGTTCCAAACCCTCGTTCACCAGCAGCACCAAAACCCCCAAATCTCGCGTATAAACCGAAGATGTCCCCGAACATCCTTTTCCACCGACATTGCGGCCGAATGTCTAATTTGCAAGAAACTTCCGAACAAAACCGTCCATTCTGTGTCGCAACTATCAGTTCTCCGGCGTGAAACCTGAACCGATCCGATTCGCCTCGGCCTACCCTGGCTCATTACCTATTACACTGTAAAATTCCCGGCCCGTACAGCTCGTCGTGCGTCATTAGCGTCCTTCCGCGCTAAAGGGCATCTGTCCGTCGGACGAGCAAATAAACGAATAAATACATGAATAAACAAGCGGATATTTTCCAGGCGAATGTTCCCAACTTGCCGGGTGTCGTTCAGCGGCCTGAAGTCCGAGGGCAAGTACGCGGTGCTGATGGACATCGTGCCGGTGGACAACAAGCGGTACCGATACGCGTATCACAGGAGCTGCTGGCTGGTCGCCGGCAAAGCGGATCCTCCGGCGCCGGCTCGGCTCTACGTGCACCCGGACTCGCCGTTCACCGGGGACCAGCTCCGAAAGCAGGTGGTCTCGTTCGAGAAGGTGAAGCTAACGAACAACGACATGGACAAACACGGCCAGGTAAGACGTCGTAATTTGCTCGGATAAATGGAGACACGGGCATCGGCTCGGCCGCCAATTTATCATATCGGTAATACACGATCCGCGACGCGAACAGGCGCAACAAAATGGCGCACGCCGGAATACCAGCCACCGGCGTTTCGGTGAATACGAGCGAACGTGCTTTAGGAATTATAGATTTTCCGGGATTATCCGTTTTCGCGATGAATGGTGAGATTTTTGGGAGATTTAGTCCGATGGTAGAACAGTATGTTCTTTTCTATTCGACCCTTTGCAGTGGGAAGTTTCTCGGTAGAAATGTTTGGAGATTTTCCGGTGAAATATAGGCGACATTGTTTGGAATTAATCTAACGATAATTCATAGAGAAATTAAGCAACTATTCCGTTTGAATATTTCACATTGCAAAATGTAATTTTCATTTAAAATACTGAATATTCAACTTCATAGTTTCGTATCGAATCGAGTGCAAAGGGTTAAACGTGTGTATTCGGCTTCGTTCGCTGAAGGTTTTCCGTAGTGAGAATCTACGTTGAATAGTTCGAGTGACTCAATTGTTGTCCTAGCTGGGTTCCAGATGATTCTGCCTTGACCGTCTACTCGCCTGATTCCTAATAAATCTGTGATATTAATCCTCATGATTGATATAGAAACCATAACCCTCGTTATTAATTCTACTACCACAACTTTCTAATGTACCATCTTGCATCTAAAGCGAGGATCCATCAGAAAGCTTCGCGAGTCCACCGGCACTACTGAATCACTCGATAACTATCCCGTAGAATACAGACACGATCGGTCAGTTGTCACCTGTCTCCGGAACATGTTCATTCGCCATTGAATACGCATAACCGATCAAAACTGCGAACACGAACGCAGATTCTGATATATAGAACCTCTCGCGAATTCTACACGTTCCCAGCGCAGCGACTGTTCAAGGGTAACAGAGGAACGAAGCTCTGCCGTCCGGCAGGAAAAGGACAAAAGAACTTTGTCGTGTTTGTTCTTGCAAAATGGGCATCGCGTCGGCCGTGCGCGTAGGGCCTCGCCGCGCCGGGCCGAATAGAGACAGGTTGCCCGACACGGATCCCCCGTCGTAAAAGCGTTGCGGCCGGGCTGAAATACCGATCGCGGAAACGATGATTCTCCGGATGAAAATTCGCGGTTTCGAAATCGGCCCGGGCCGCTCGGTGCCCGGCACCGGGCACCGCTCGCCGACACCGTAAGCGTTATTTATCGGTAAATTCGCACGTTCGCGCGGCCCCGCGTCCGGCGCGCCGGTGATTTGCGTAAGTTTCACGCGCGAAATAAGGCGGACGATTTAACGAACGACCGGTGCCAACGACGTCGACGATGCTCACGGATTACAGTGTCGTTTTTCACGCGGCGGAGTCGAGCCGTTTCGCTCTCCTTCGTGGCACCGTGGACGACGTCGTTGACGAGATTTCGGACGTTCGCGCGCATCGAAAATGGCCTCGTAAAACGAACGGCCGGCGTTACCGGGGACACGTGGGCGTGGTTATCATCAACACCGCTCGTTAATCGTGGGCGTCGAAGCTGCCAGCCCGTGAAACGTAATATTCCATCGTCGCCGTCCGCCGATCGATGACAAACCAATCTTTCCGCGCGCGTGCTATGCCTCTCCGCGACGGCCGCCGTCCTCGCCCCTCGCGCGTTTTTCCCGCGTTCTATCGCTTAATTACGCTATCGCGTGGATTCCTGCCGACGACGGCCACCGGGACCGCCGTTAAAACTGACCGGGACACCGCGGAGGCCTTGCGAGTAGGCGCTCGGGGCTTTCCGGGTGTCCGTTGGAGAGCGAAACGAACGAGAGTCGCTCTCGGAGGAATTTCTTGCTGAACACTATCATTGAGACATCGCTATCGACGCAGTATCCGAGCGCATAGTAACTTAATTATCTCGATCTCCTCGTGAACCGTTTGTTGCATAGGTCTCGCACTCTGAATTCACCGTTCTGCAAATCAAAGTCACTCCACGATTTAATTATCCTTCGCGAAGCAACGCTTCTGATGACTCCTTTGTCCAGAGCATCGACTTCTGCTACCGTCTCAGCTTTCGATTTCAAATGTTGCGTATAATCTTGGAAATCAGCTTTGGAGTCACGCGACGACCAGTCGTCTCTGCGTCCAGTATCAATCCAACTTCTCAATTATCCAGTCGCACAATGAGATACTGGGAAGAGGACGCATCCCAGGCTCTCCGTTATCCCCGAAACCTGAACTATCCTCGACCCCTGAATCCCAGGGAGCCTGGAATCGGTTCGGTTCCTAAGAATTCCACGTCCAGCAGAAACCGAGCTGGACCCCGCGCGACGCCGAGACCGTGGCCAGCGTCCGCCACCGCGGTAGCGTTATTCCGCTCGCGAGGAAAAGGCTGGAACTGGATGGGAACGGAGCCGACCGAGTCAGTTTCTTTCTCGGCCGTTGAAATATCTCGTGGTCGGAGCAACTTAACACCATAAAAAGTGTAACTCTACGGCGAAAAGAGCGTAGATACTATATCCGGAAAGGGGGGAACGCCGGTGGTCGGCGGAGCGGCGGCGTGGCGTGGGGGAGGAGGAGGAAAGAGAGAGGAGAGGCGAGACAAGGGTCGCGCGAACCATCCACTCGCGGACTGGCCATAATGTTACGAGCATTATAGGCGGTTGGTAGTGGTGTCGTAGGTGGTGTGTATAGTAGGCACGACGGCGTGCCTATAAGCTAATAAATTGAATGGATGTTTGCCCGGAGCTTTTGTCATGATGATCACGAGTAGCCCACGCTTGGCCCGTTGAGCACCTTTTGAATCTCTCTCCACAGCCTGTTCTCCTCCGGGCTCTCTCTCCCTCGCCCGTCCCCGCCGCGGCGGGAGCGAGAGGAACGCAGCGCGCCCTCCGAGCGTCGAGATTCTCGCGGTTCCACACGAACGGACTGTTCCGTGCGCGAACGATCCGCGTCCCGTGTTCCGTTTCCTCGCTGCCGCGTTCCACCGCCGGACGACCAAACCCATCTTATCAACGACGCGCCACGTAGCCGCGCGGGATCCGCACGTCTTACGGCTTGTCTTCTGTCAGGGGATTAACCGCGATCGCTGAGTTGCTTTATTAACCCCTTGTCTCGCGATTTCTTTCTCAAGTTTCCTTGGGAAACTAGTTTATCGTTAATCATTCGCCGAACGGAAGGGATTCGATGGTCTTCGGTTACGTTCAGCTCGAAGGTCGCAGGAACGCGGTGTTCGATTCGTGTTTCGAGAGACTCTGTGACACGTAGATTTCGGGGATTCGGCTTGGAATCTTTAGTACTGAGTTCATTTTCGGTGGTTCTCTCGTTGAGCTATCACTTTCGCGCTTCAATTTCACTGAATGGAAACCGCGTCTGAGACTATCGAACTCATAATCGACACGGTACCAAAATTCTACCGAATATCTATACTACACCTAACTCAACCCTTCGGATGAACATCGACATTCCGAGGAGATCGAACGTTCATATCTGGAGTACAAAGTCAAACGATTCGATCCCTGAAACAGCAAGAGAACACGTAGTTTTCTCCCATTGTTCAATCGATCCACCTACAATTCAGCTTCCCGCTAAAGGTTCTCAATATTCCAAAGACTGTTCCTCTCCGAGGAGTTAAAAATCCCCCAGCCCAGTTCCCCACGAAACGGGCATCGCCGCGCATCGAACTCGAATCACACAAGGGAACCCCGAAGCTAACTAACTCCGAGTAACCAGCAAGCTCCGTTTCACACGGAACGCGAACGGCGCGTATCTCGGATCTACAAGATCGCGCGCAGTCGGCCACGCGTTCGAGGCGGCCGTGCACGGTACAAGCGTAATTAGCCGCTCGTTACCGCGGGTTTCCCGCGACTGGTTGGCGTAGGGACCACCGCGTAGCTCGATCGGCGATCGAGTCGCCGATCGGATCGGGCCCGGGTCACTCCCGACGATTTCTAATCCCCGTGACGGTGGCGGTCGTGTTTCGAATCGGAGCCGGGCCCCGCGGAAAGGTTGTTGCGCGAGAAAGATTGGCGCGCGAAGGACAGAAGCGCGAAGAACGGACGGGCAGCAGGCTGAGCGGGCGGCGGAGGAGGAGGAGGAGGTGAAGGAGGAGGAGGAACGGAAGGGAGAGAGGAAGAAAAGGAGAAAGAGAGGAGAAC